AGTAGCTGTAGAAACATTTTTAAAAAGGAAGGAAATCCCACATCATCGCATTTTTTAGGTGTAAATGATTTTTTTAGAGATAAAATCGTTCTCTGATTGTTTATTTTTTGGTACAACCAGAAATAGTGGGATATTGAATAATTCTTGACTATCATGGGTGTCAGCTTACCATTCCATAGGTGGAGGGTAGTTTTATATCCACAGTCCTGCATTTAATGTCTTAGGGAAGGGTCTACATTTAGAAGCATGTGCCACTGCACCCAGTCTCAATTGCTGTCTCATTGTGCCCATGGGGCTGGCAGGCAAGGCAGGTCCAGGGATGGAACCCTGGGCTCCTGGGCCTGCACCTGCTTGCAGGCACTTTAATCCACTGAGTTATTTGGCCTGCCCTTGTCTTGGATACTTTAAATGGCTTCTATTCCCATGGTTTTAGTAGAACTGTTTCCTAAAGAAAACTACTTCCTAATTGTTGCCCTGTCAGAATGGTGTGCACTCTGTAACATCTTTTTGGTAGTGGTAGTCGGGTTTGCCTCATTTTGTTAATGTGCTGTGAAAGATCAAAAATTTGAATATGTAGTGTATGTGATGCAAAATTGTGAATTGGTGGGACTTGAGTAACACTTTGTCAGCATTTGAAGATACTGGTACTTAATCCTGTTATAGAAAATGTGCCTCAAAATTTGAAGCTGCTATAACTGGAATAACTGAAAAACAACACATGCCTTTTTCGGTATGTGTGTTAAGAATTGTGTACAAAGTGAATCATGTGTACTGATCCTCAACACGACCAATAAAAATCTCAAATACTGGAGACAATAAATAAATAAATAAATAAATAAATAAATAAATAAATAAATTTTTAACACAAAGCTGCTAAATTGCCCAGGCTGGCCTCAAACTTACAGTTCCCCTGCCTCAGCCTCCCAGAGTGCTAGAATTCCAGGCAGGTACCACCACACCTGGTCAAAGCTATGAATCCTACATCTTAAAAGTATAATCCTAAAAAAAAAAAGTATAATCCTTACCAGGGGACTTTCCTTGTTGCGAGGTGCTTCTCCGCTCCCTGTATCTAGCTGGGGTGGGTAAACTTGTATCTTTACCAGGCTGGACAGCAGGCCCCACGTCTGAAATGAGGAGCCCCATCTGCTCTGGAGGCAAGACACTCTCAGGTGTGCTGGTCTGGCACTTTATGCTGGCATCCACCTAAAATATTAAACCCACTTATTATGCCAAGATTTCTTCCAAAAATCAACCAAGAGTTAATATAACTTATCAGAAGAGTTCAATAATAGAAACATGGTCCAATAAACATGCTTATAAAGCTTTTCATCCTCATTAATTTTGCTTTTGTTGAATTAACTAAATAGTAGTACAATGTACTTTTCCCCATACTCAAACTACTAAAATGTATATAGAGCTAAAACATTTATTTATGAGCAAAGGAAATTTTTAAATGAGGCTTGATGACTTTCTTAATTTTAAAAAGTAAGATTTTAAATACAACTGGTTAAGAATACTGTCTTTTATTCTATCATATGTCTTTCCTAGTTGGTGGGATTGTGATGCCCACAGCCATCATCCCATGGGATAATGTTTGATTTCTGTAACTTAAACAGGCTACCAAAACTATATAAACTTCAGGGCTAGAGAGATAGCTCAGAGGCTTAAGTACCTGCCTGGCAAGTGCAAGTTCCTGAGTTGGATCCCTGGTGCCAAAAAACAACAAAACCTGTATAAACTTCAGCATATTCTGTATTTCCCCTGTTTATGAGTTTCCTTCTTGGCTTCCTAAATTTTCTTTGGAATGTCAAATACTTTGTCAAGATGACCAACTTCTAAAATATTTAAAATACATTTATTTTAAATAAAACTATATAATAAAATAAAGTTTAAAACACAGCCTCCAACAGTTATAATGTTCAAAAATATGAAGAGCTGGGTGGGCATAGCATGCATGTCTGTAATCTCAGCACTCAGGAGGCTGAGGCAGGAGAATTGCCACAAATTCAAGGCTGACCTGTGCTACATAGTGAATTCAAGGAAAGCCTGAACTACATGGCAACACCCTGCCTCAAGTATCCAACCCCACAGCCAACAAGATAGCTCGGTAGACTAAGTGCCTGCTTAGGCAAGCACAGAGACCAGGGTTCCAACCCCAGCACCACATGCTGTGCCAGCCCCTTCCCTGCCACCCCTCCCCCCGGTATGCTGTGCTGGCTGAGACCAGGCTGTAATCTTGTAATCCCAGTACTGGGGAGGCTGAAAACAGGAGGATGACTACAAATCTGAGCTGTATAGTGAGACCCTGTACCAAATATATATTAAAAAAAAAAATCCAACCCCACCCAAAAAATTATAGAAATATAGAAAAAGTAATTGTAGGGATACAATTTTAAGATATGAAATTCAGTATTTCAGATGTGATCATAAAGGAACAGAAACAAATTTCATTTTATTTCTATAGGCATAGTTAATAAATAAGGAACCTATCTTTTGTCTCCTGATTTTCCATTGTCATCTTAACATAATATACAAGGTCTTAATAGGCTCAAAAATGACAGGTTAATAGAATTTTTTTTTTTTTTTTTGGAACCGGGGATTGAACTCAGACCCTTGCGCTTGCCAGGCAAGCGCTTATTCTACTGAGCTATCTCCCCGGCCCCTGATAGAAATTTTAAGACATTTAAATTTAAGATTAAAATTTCAAAGGCTGCCAAAAAACAAAACAAAAGCCAGCCAAAAGTTATTTTAAGAACCTCTACTGTACTGGTAGCATATGCCTGTAATTCCAGCACTCACGAGGCTGAGGTAGGAAATTTGCTTTCAGTTTGAGACCATCCCAGGCTACATAGTGAATTCAAGGCTACCATGGACTATACAGTGAAATCCTGTCTCAAAAATAACCCCAAAAACACAGGGCCAGGAATATAGCTCAGTAGCACAGCACCTGCCTGGCAAGCACAAGGCCCTGAGTTTAATTCCCAGTACCAAAAACAAAATAAAACAAAAAGAACCTCTGCTCTAATTCACAAAGAGTAATTTTTAATTACTTTTAAATTTAATTTGGAAGGGCCAGGGAGATGGCTCAGCAGAATAAGCGCTTTCCTGGCAAGCACAAGGGCCTGAGTTCAGTCCCCGGTTTTGAAAAAAAAAAAAAAAA